GAGGGTAGTTGTAGAGAAGCTGAAGGCCAGCTGAACTGTTCTCTGAAATGTTCCGCCCATCGTTCTAAACGTCTGGACTGGGAGCAGATGAGAGTATCATCTTTTTCCGAAATAATCTCACTTACACTTGACTTATGAATTCCAGTTTCTTTTATAAGTCTGTAAAGCTGTCTTGTGTTCCCTATAGTCGCCGCCTTTTCCATCTCTTTTGCTTTCGTTACCCAACAATGCTCACGGTCGTTCTTTAGACTTTTTCTTAACCTAGATCTGATTTGTTTACGCTCTTCATCATGTTCAGAACCTGATGGGACGAGTTTGCGAGAATCCATCAGTGTGACAGACCGTGAAGAAATCCACTGGTTCCTTGCAACTCTGTGGTTTAAGTCACTAATAGATGTCACTGCTGTTTCCACAGCTGATTGTATGCCCTTCTAAGCAACATCTGGGTCAGCCTCGTGTTCACATCTACCTAAGTGTGACCTCAGTTGTTCTTGGAACCTACAGGTGAAGGAGTAGGGGAAGTGAAACCGTTATATTCTTCACCATCATGAATCTGGATGAACGGTATGCAGTACTAAGCAAGCTCAACGTATCTAAAATCTCAGCTGTATATGACTGCTGCTAAACGTATAGTGTTTCGACAATAGGCTTTATTTGAAAGCCAGTATTAAGATGATTTGTATTTAGGTAACCCAGTAGGCATTTTTATTTACCTAATATTTTCGCTTTAACAACACATTCCTAGGTTATATTTCTCCTACCTGTAGAGGTTCAGTCCTATAATGTATTACTGTCCTTACTGAAAGATCTATTTCAATAAGAGAGCAGATAAAATGTCCACTATCCCACAATATTCTTCTGTCCAAGATTAGTAGCCAATTTGACTAATCTGTATTATCTTTTAAAGATGGCCTGAGATAAACAGAAATTATTAAAAACTTCTTCCCAACTGAATGTTAGTGAAAACTCTATTTCCTTTATTTTAATTGAGTATTGTTATCAATAAACGGAAAACGTTTTACATATGAACTGTTGAGTCCAACAAATGGGTAAACATTTAGACAAGTCTTTGCACAAAATATATTATGCTTTTAATCTACTCTCGTATTCTCAGTAAAGCCTTACCTGACAGACGTTCTTAATGAGTGTGTATTCTAGTAATTGTTAGGTAACCTCAATAAATATCTCAAATTCAGCAGTCGTTCTCAGAAATCTGAGGCTAGAATTTCAGCGAAGGTCATATATGCACGAGATTTCGAATCTTTGATAACTTATGTCTTGAATACGAAATACATTTAAGTTCTATTGTCTGTATAATAAAACACGTATACGTTTGGGGGGTTGTATAAGTGTATTGACTTTATCACAAGGTATGGATACTCAAACAAAAATTTGTAAATAATCTCGAACATAGTTGACAAAAAGAATGCAATATATAAACAAAAATTACCGAGAAAGTAAACTCGTGAACTAAATCGATACACACTGAACATAATTCTTAACAAGTAAAACATTAAAGAGTGAAAATTTCTAATGGTTGCTGTGATAGACAGTAGTAGGTGGACAAATGATGCTGTTTTGGAAGTGATGAATAGCTAAAGTTAATGATAATAACGACGAAAAATACAATTATGAGATAGAAAACAGTTTTCCGAGTGTTGAATGAAGAATATTTTTGTATTCTATTGAATAATGATAATATAACTAGCTAAAATTAAACCAAAAAATAAGTAAGTTTTTTTATCTATACACGCTATAACTTTAAAAATGCACAATTACTAAAATAAGTCACTCATACATGCACACGTTCTGCAACAATCTCAGCTTACCTAGATAAGAGTAATAAAAATTGAAAAAAAGATAGTCGAACTACAAATCTGTGATATTATTAAAGTGCCGAATAACATTAATGATAATAGCACCATTCTTGTAGTCGATTCAACAACATCTTCAAAAAAGCACAATCGGCAACCACATTTAGACACATAACACTAGGAGTGAACAAAACACAAAGCGAAAGAAGTTAACTTTTGAAAAAAAGTAAAGATAAGGGACACTTATCCTTATTATTGCTATTATCATTGCGAAAGTTTCTAAACAGAACAACAGTTTTCTTTCAAACACCACCACCACTTCTATAAACAGGAATTCGAGTACGACTTAATACTTTCTTTAGAGGTGAGTTGACAACAACGCCAGATTTTATTGCACTCATAAACTAGAAAAGAAGAATAAGCAAAATATTGTTAATAATTTGACATGACATAATTTTAAAGATTATTACTTATATATATGGTAATTAATAATTAAAGTTTATGTAATTTATAATGAATGCACATTAAAGCAAGTGTGTAATTAGGCAAATATAATGACGATAATAGGAGAATTTGAGAAAAAAAAGAACTCCCATTGAATTTCTTTCTACATTGTTAGTGTGAATACAGGCACTTCATTTCAGCAAGTTATAAAGTTGGTATTTTCAAACTATGACACAATGTACGACTGAGTAGTAAGTTTTGGTTGCTGACAATATATGAAGCATTTTTGTACTTCATACCATTCATTAGACGAAATTATCTAACATGATTCTTTAACAGTATAGCTGGAGATAAGTACTTATCAATTGAAATATTAAAAATGATTACTGTTAGCAACGGTATACGGGGCATCTTGTTCATAGAAGGTAATTTAAAAGGAAAGTGAACAAGAGTTATTCATGAAAAACAGAATTATGATCTTAAATAAATAATGAAAGTGAAATCTTAAAAAAAACGTGACACAAACTTAAGAAATATGAGCACCTATTTTCATGATGGTTCTTGAAAAAACTCTACGATTTTAGCGACGACGATATTAATTCTTTACGTAAGTGAAAAGGGTTTGAATACCATAGGGAGAAAGTGATTTCACTAAAATAATCAATATAGTATATTAAATAAAAGCAATGTAATAAAGGATCGAATAACAACCAGCTGATAAATAGAACAGGTAGCACATCAAAAAATTTGATAAAAATTTGTGCACAATGTAAAATTGTTTAATTAAAAAGCTTAGTTGAGATTAAACTAGAGTTAAGTCATACGCTTCTACTCACGTAGTTTTAACGAAACGAACATTTAAAAGTGATCAGCATTTCACTATCAGTTATGTCTTTGATAATGATATTGAAAACATCATCCATTGGCCAAGCAAAGATTTATGTAATCGGCTTAGAGCTACAGTTTGTGTGTTAGGGTCATCAGTACTACTTGTATGCTGGAATCGAGATAGGTGGAGTAAGATTAAACTTAAACTCTAACCCCTCAGTCACTGACTCGATATTGTTCTCGAAAACTACTGTTTAGATGCTAATAGTTTTAATTATACAGTATACATACTAGCTTTATGACCACAAGACTAATGGAAAACAATATCATAATCTGGCTCACGAGAACTGAAATTTACAGTGTGTTTGTTGAATATTTGGAAAGTAGCTATCACTTATGCTCTTATTTTCATCATATATGTGATTCATAAAGATCAGTCTAACGTATGCGTTAGTTTACATTGATAAACATTTGGACTGACATAATCAAAACAGTCTAGTATCCAATATAAACTTCAAGCTTTGTATATATAAATTTAAAACTTATTGACCTAACGTTGAGGTAAATCTACTAATAACAAGGAACACAAAATTAATATTCTAAAATTACCCAACTTTTCATTATTATCACAACTTTAAATCGGTTAATCAGAAAATGTGGAAATACAACATCAACTCAGTGATTAACGGCAATCTCACTTTCAGTTATATAGCCGGGAGTGAAGTAAACTAATTAAAATGGTGTTCAATTGACAAACGTATACTATGGAAAGTAAAATTAACCTGCAGAGTCAACCGCAAACATACACAGACACATATTGCGCAAAAATAGTAGCAAAATAATGACAAATACACAATGAATGTTCATAAGAAGAGGCAGCAACAGTGACCTGTGATAATTCTACAACAACACAAAAAGCAGCGGTAACAGAAGCAGAGTGTTAAGCATTATAATGGTTTGTTGTTAATGTAAATCCACGCACAAAACAAACTTTGATTAAAATAGTGGGTTTTCAAAAATAGTCAAATATTGTAGATCTGCTTTGTAATGTCCTTACGTAGATGATTGTTAAGCTTGTTTATCAAGATTACGTGAATTCAATTGATGGATGAGTTGACTACGTAGTACCTATGTTGTTTTCATCATACATAAATGATTAATATTGAAATATGAATAAAATAAATAGTTTATAAGTAAGATATGTGAATGAAGGAAATGTTTATACAAAGCTAATTAAATCTAAAAAAGTTGGAGGTTTGTATATAATTTGACCAGAATGAAGATGTTCTAGTTATCTGAGTATGAATGTATAAGAAGTGTTTCTCTACATTTCTAGTTCATCATATTTCAATAACGGCGAAAGAGTCGAGATTCATTCACAATAAGTTGATTAGAGTATATTTTATGTAGCAGAAACTGTATAACTCTATCAACAATGTTTACTTTTCTGATTGCAATCTTTCTTATTGCCCTTAAAGTAGCAAATTGTGAAAAAAGCATATTTCCTGAATAAGTTGAGAAACATAATTTTTATGATATGGACGAAGTCGCTAACTACTTGTTTGAATGAAGTCACTAACTTCTAGTCTGAGTCATTTTGGAAAACGCACACTAGTTGGTTAGGGTCTGCGTGACTATCGTAACCAATGGTTGGAGACTGTGGGTGACATGGCTTTGAATCAATCACGATGGCGTAGGTGTATGCACTCTTTGTCTTCCTTTAAACCTTGGGATTAAAATTGCTTTATATCTTTCTTTCTACGAACTAATCCTTTCTTCCTGCACTATATCCTCATATGCAATCTTTATTTTATATATTACTACCATTGAAGTAACTACCTCTATGAATTTGGTGTTGATGTTGTTGTGCTAATGAGGTATGGCGACTTGGTGTGATGCATATATGTGTCTGGTCCTACGTTGTAGCTGACTGACTGATTGAGCCTTATCCAATCAGATTAGCGGTTAGATACAATTGACACAGTCCAAAATCTATCATAGCAGCACAATTTTATTCAGTGTCTATCTTCTTTGAAATCTCCATTCACAGGTTTTCAATTTATTCGATCTCGGTTATATCTTCATGAACCTGGTCACATTTAGAATTCAAGTGCTGTTAATACTGTTCCCTCTACTTCGCTTCTCTTGTTTATAACCAGTTAAGTTGTCCTGATGACAACTTAAACGAACACACACTTGTGCCAACTCCGATGTTGATGATGTCAAATTAACAAGATTTACAATCAGGTGTCGTTAGGCGAATAGTAAACACTAAATTAATAGATAATACTTATGTATAAACGGGTCTATCGGTCAAACAGAAGTAAAATTTAATATCTTTCTTCAGAGCAACCAATAATCAAATTAGTCCAGAATCTAGCCCCTCTTTATGTGACAGAAATTGAAAGACAGATACTTCCCTTATTTGTGGCGAACCGATCTTTAGATCTTTAAAACTATGGAAAAGTTTAGTGACCACGAATGAATAATTTGAGAAGCGTTTTTACTTCGAAAACTAGGTCGATCTACATTCTAAAGATTCATTGCTAATGATCTCGAAATCTTAGATAGCTCACAAACATGTAAAATGATAATCTACAAAGGCAAAAGATTATCATTAAGTATCCAGTCAACTGTCTTGAACAGATCTTCAAGCTTTTGATAACTGGTATTGCACATTAAATACATGATGTGTTTAGAAATACAAAACATTGATCAAAATCAATTTCAAAACCATAAGAATTTGATAAAAATGAAACTAGCGATAAGTTCTAATGATAGCAAAAACACAAATAAAGCATGAATAAATATGTCTGTTTCATTAACACACTACTTTAATACAACTAAACACAAAAACATTTCTAATCAAATTGATTTAGTACATTATTTAAAGGGTCGGTCAACAGATACCGCATAACTCGGAATTCAAAATATGTGAAGTACACTAGGGAATGTAATTCTAGAAGTTAAAATAGAAGAAATATTTTAAATAAACAGTTATAATGTAAACGCTATTAAATTTTATGTAGATTTAAATCTAGGTAATTTTAGTTCTCTAAAGCACGATCCATTGACAATACAACTGAGATAAAACAGCTTATTCAAGTCATCCCCATACAACTTTTTTCATATCACGACACCATGTCATACACTGACCACCTCTCTGATTTTTTCAACAACTCCCAGTGTCCGCAAATAACCAACCATGGGAAATTCGTTGGCATGACATTCGTATTAAATATCTAAACAAACCAAGACAGTGTTCCAAGATGTTCACACCAATTGCATTATCCTCACTGTGTCTGAACACACGTTCCAGAACCTCTAACATTAATGAAATCGTGTTGCCACTGAATGTTACAAATACTTCCCAGACAACGATGATCAAACACAGAGAGTCACTTAACATCCTCAACTCGGTCGGTTCAGGATTAGAAAGCACATAGCACAACTACTCTAATCCACGTGTCGTAGATCCAACCCTTTACACCCGGGATAACAAAACAAAAGCACCAAAGACTGCACACGTCGAAATAACACAAACGAACTTCTATTATACGTGAATTAGTCTCACTACTCACGCTACCACCAGCATTCACACAGATACACAGACACAGACACTAACAACAGTGAGTGAAGGGACAGGCTTCTGCCAGTCTTCTAATAGTACTTTGCACTCAGAAGGTGCAAAATAAATCCCATACCCACAGATGCTGACTGCCAACTGACTGAGTACGCATTGCATGGCTTGGATATCGTCTCAAAGTAAGACAATATCATCCGTATACCCAAAGCCGAAACGTTTATTTCCAGGTAAAGGTACTCTGGACTTAGAAAGTGTAAAAGATATACCATACCCTCGGACAATGATCGTTGATGAACGTCCTTTCTTATTAATAAATCGTAACTACGTAGATAAATTTGGCCACTTCATCATCGTTATCACTTCTCTTACTCATATAAATGAGCTCACGTTCCTAATTTACGGTTCAGTATTTACTGAATTGATTGGGTAGACAGAAAATTAGGTTGAAAAAATGTGTTATTTCCTGAATAAATTATACACCATTGAAAAGAATATTAACAAGTTTAATACAGTGATTTCTACCTTAACTTCAATTCTAAAAAGTCACTTGGATCAATGAATAGGTTGATAATAGTTTCCTTAAAAAACTGAGCTTTAAATTGAATGCGCAATTCAGTAATGAAAAGCTGACTGACCTCACTAACAGTTTCAAAGAATTTATCGATAAAAGTAAAATAATACCAACGTAGACAAAAAACAAGTCGTAAACTTATCACACTGACATCTCTATAGCAGTTACAATTAATACAGGGCACTGAGGTAAATAAATTTGACTTGCCTAAAGAGCCAATATTGCAACACTATTCATAATTAAAATTTATAATTCTTGTCAAAAAAAGTTCGTATGAGAATAAAAAAGTAATTTGCATATGCAAAATTATAAAACACGATATTAAGAAAATCTGTTCACAAAGTATCAAATGAAACACACTATTCCATTTAGATTTAAATGTATTCCTATAGTGATTGTGATTTGTTAAGTTCTAATAGGAACCATCCCGCAAAAAACATCCTTGCTAAAAACCGCTAACCAGGTATTTCAGCTGAACGCATTAGGAACTGCCGTGACGACACAAAACAATTTGACAAAGAATTAATATCTTTTACAACAAAGTGTAATTATCCAAAAAAATTAACAACGATAGTAAATTGAATAATTATTATTTTAGTAATTAAACTCTCCGAATTTCTTTTAAAGGGTTTGTACTTTCCTGTTGATTATGTTAAGATCTACAATTGATATGAATGCATTCTGAGTGGATTGCCTCGATATTTTCGTTTATTCACAAGTCTTGATTAAAGTTGGGTAGTGACTAGCAGTGAAATCTGGATAGTCTATTTCATCCCACTCGAGACTGGTCCTCTGGGTGTACAACCATTCTAGTTTTCATTTTCACATGGTAGATCATCGAACCCAGTACTTTTATCTTCAAACATTAAAGCGTTATGCGTCGACCTACGAAGTTCAGATAGCCACTGTCTTGTGTAACGGGTGCAGAGACTGGACAACTGCATCCCTTAACATCAAAAACGAGAAAATATAAATCCTTACAAAGAAAATACGTGCCGCAGGCTTTTACACGATCTATAAATATTTGTGTTCGAGCTGATTTGTCAGGGTTTCTTCAGCAATATCAATATGGGCCTTTGTACCACGACATTATCGTAAATTTTGAAATAAGGCAGTCCTATTAGTTACTTTGTTTTCTAAAACATTATATAAACTGAGATGTTCACATACTTTATTGTTTTTTTTTCTAGAGGCAGAAAATCTAGCTAACAAAGTCTAGCCTCATCTCTTCTCGCTTGTGTGAAGTTAGAATTTTTCAAGTGTCGTTGTGTGTTAATCGTAGATTTATCTAGTAATGATAGACCAAGTATTGTGTTAGAATTATTTCCCATGCCTCTATTTTGAACCCTAACGATTACAATTAGCAACAATATGTCTATCCTTTAATGTAGTGTAAGGTAAATTCGATGGCACAGGATTGAACTGACAAAATAATAACTCAATTAAATTAGTATCCAAATTGAAATTAATCGATAGAAATTGATCAGCACTAAGGACTAGAAGAATATCTAATTGGTTATTATTGAATGGTAAATATTTCAGTCCTAAAGAAATTCAGTATTTACAGTCCGAATAGCTCAGTAATTAGGTCTCTAACTATGACACTGCGATACTAGCTCAAAATATACGAAAAGCAGCTTGATGGTGATTATCAACTAGCATGAAAACTAGGCTTACAACTTATGGTCAGTTGATTCAAAACCCCAACTAACACAAGCGATTATAGTTAAGCCAATCGGACTACATATTCATATGCATTAATACACTAATATTAATACTTCATGGTAAGTGGAAAAATTGAGGAGTGAAATTAACTTCCATGAATATACTTAAAGCAATAGGTAGCCCAGTTTCGTCGTTTTTTGAAACTTAACCATAGGCAAATGCATACAGCAGAATTAAAATATGGCGTGTGTGTGTATGACAGTAAGTTTCTATACAAATTAATAACTCCGAACCATTAAAACGGCTGTGTAATTGATTGGCAAAAATATCAAATGCAGTTTACAATCAGAAATATGAATTCGTAATCATGTCTTAAACTTGGAGGAATTTTATTGGCATTGACTTATTAACGTTTTTACTTCAATTTCTTGAGATAACAATACTTTGTGAAAAAGCGTGTTCAGTGCAATATGCCCTTTTAGAAAAGTGGAATGTGTATATAATTTAAAACAAGTAGAAAATATCTGCAAACAACAGGAGCTAATCGATATCACCTTAAAAACATAGGATTGTTATTATTTAATATGAAAGAGATAACGTATTTAATTTAATTTAATTCAATTACTACTACGTGTAATTGTACGTATTCAACAATTAATCACACTATTTGTGTGAAGGTCAATAATATCAGCCGGTTATCCAAACCTTAACAAGTGGATCGACTTTTGAATCTGAAATCTATCGGTTAAAATTTGAACAACCTAACAACCAAGTATCTAAAAGCAAAGAATGTTGACTTGTTATCTCAAACAACATAAGCATTAATGTTTTTCAACTTGAAAAGAGTAAAGTATCTGATTGAATGTTAAAAATAAAATTTCTTTATGAGAATTAACTGAAATATGTAGATAGAAAATGATGAAAAAATAAAGGGAACTAAGAATTATTTTCCGAGAACCAATGAAATAAATAAATAAAACATCAGAGAGAAAAATTTTCCATTTTAACATACTTGTAAGAATTCTGACATGTCAACTTGTCCATTCTTATTAATATCCATTGTATTCAAAGTAGATTGTAACACTTCTTCACTAACATATTCGCCAGATTCCTAAAAAGGTTAATAAATATTGTTTGTAAAAAGATTCATAAAATACAATAAGAATATTGCTGTTATTATTACTATTATTCAGATATGGAGCTTGAAGAAAGTTAGCTTAGTTAAAAAGATTTCAACAACAACTGATAATCATCCGATCAGTTAGTTATAAACAAAATAGAAGCTGACACTCATCTGTGTCGATCCAAGTCACCATACTGTATCACTATAGTGAGATGAAATTACCAAGATAAATGTTACAGTAGTAGAAAACATTAGACGTAGATAATATTCTGAGAATTTAATACCATACTAAACATAATTTGAAATAAAGTTATTGCTAGTAATTAATAGTAAATTCATGGAATGAAAAATACAAAGTAATTTCAAAGCCCAAGATTTAGTGGAATAGGAGGAGTGAATAAATCTTAGCCATTCTAGACGATTCTGAGTCATATCACACCAAGTCCCAAATAACTGACAATTAAAGTGAAGAGATTGAAAATAAAATGAAATAATTGATTGTTGATCTCTTTATATTTCATCAGTTGATGTTAATACATGATTAAAATTGTATTCAGATAGTTTATTTTTGTTAACTTTATCAAATGTATAATGAACTTAATGGTTATAATGAACAAACCATTTAAAACGTTATTATCTCGAAAAAGAGCTACCTAGGCAAGTTATAAAAAAACTATTGAAACTGAGGTGTTTGAAATCATTCAAAGTTACGGATAGGAATTGTAAACTTGGTTAATGAATATAGAATTTAAGAAGCATAAAAGTAGAACAGTGAAGAAGGTTTATAAGCAAAGATGGACAGTAGCTAGCAGTGGAATACAGGACGCGCGTTTCGTCCTGTTTGGGACTCGTCAGCTGGATGTACCTGCATCTCAGAGTTGATGTTCACTCTGGGACTCGAACTCAGTATCGTTCGCTTCAAACCCCATCGCGTTATCCACTTAGCTACTGAGTCCTGATGGCCACTTGCTTGTGCAAAGTGATGAAGTTTAATTCACTTGGTATTGTTTTACTTGAATCTTCCCATTGATGTTTTAGGACTGAAATTGATCAGTCTCTTATTGGCATATGTGCATACTGTGTGTATTGCCTCGATATTGCCTTAATTTACAGTATGCACATATGCCAATAAGAGACTGATCAATTTCAGTCCTAAAACATCAATGGGAAGATTCAAGTAAAACAATACCAAGTGAAGTGAAGAAAGTTGTTTTAGCGAAGATTTTATTTACTTAAGCTGTGCAATTGTATTCATAGTTAGTTTATTCACTAAAATTAATAGTTTACAGTGAAATATAAGTGTGTTGTGTAATTTTAAACAATTATCATAGTATGTTGTTATTTCTAAAATTAGTTTTCTTTAAAATGCTAAAACAGTGATTTTATGGAGCCTGCTTATTACATGAAACATTTATACAATCGATTGTCCTTACACATGAATTACATGAATAAATTGTACTTTAAACAAGATGGAGAGGAATCAATATCAGGTACATTGTCGACAGAATTATCAAAATATTTATTGTATACTAATCTAGTTTGTAATTTTTGGCAAAACCAATTTACCAAATTCACTAAAACTCCATAAATAAATACATTGTTTTTGTCTTAAAAATAAATTCATTAAAAACATACTTGAAACAAAATAATTAGTTTTGAATTAAATCATGTTATGACATACGTTGACGACAAATTTCTGTAACATTCAGTTACTTTTAGAAGATTAATACTTACAACGATGAAGCGTTTAAAACCAACTAAAACTATTATAGAATACTGTGGAGGTTTGTGAGTTTAGAGATCCACTGAAGTTTGAAATCTAAACCATTGGATGTCAACATAGTGGTTTGAAGATCAGGCACTTTTTGCAAAGCCTCAAGGTCATAGGGTAATGAATGAGCATTGATGAGTATTATACGAAGATGAAACAGTTGTCTGGCACTTCCTGTCTTTTAATGAATTTTTAATCATGATGCGGAAATTAAGAATTCATCAAAGCCATGAAAAATTTTGAAAGAAGTGTCTTGTTACATCATATGACTAGAATTGTAATAAATTATATATATTGAATGGATTGAAAAAAAGTGATTAACTATTGTATTTCGGAAAATTTAAATAATTAACGTATTAAACTTTAAATGAATCATTAAAGCTTTAGGGAATAAATATGTACACAGTAACAAGAGTTATGGAAAACAGTTTACAAGTATTTCTGAAATATCGTTGGTAATTAACAAATTGAATACAGAAAAAAGTCACCAAGATATCCTGGTTTGATAACAACTTACAGTACAAAATTTGCGTAAATCATCCAATGAAACATATCCTTTAGTGTCATGATCAAGTTTACGGAAACTTTGTAAAAGATTACTAATTTCATCAATAGTCAAATCCATACGAACACCTTCCATAACACGCAGACCAAGACCCATTTCAGATTTTAAAAAGTTCTATAAAAAGAAAAACACACATGTAACAAGCGTGTAAAAATGCTTTGAAAACATGTGCTATCAGTTACAAAAATCAATAGGAATCTAGACACATTTGAAATAAATACTGACAAGAAATTGTTCACGATGTATAACGTAATACATATATAAATTGCATTACCCAAAGTGAGACATTGTATGTGTTAAATCCATAAAAAGTTTTCTGTACAACTATCGATCATAAATAAAATGTAAAATAAGTGACGTTTTCCAGATATAATTAAGAAAGGTAATTTCCATGATGAACCAACTTCAGCTTTAAAACCACTAGAAACGAAGATACATTGAACTGTTTTATCTTTAAATTAAGACTTCGTAGATGTACAAACTCACAACCTCAGAAGGAAGTGAATAGAAAACATGGAGATTTTGTAGATTGTATGTTCATTTTAAGCCAATCAATTCAGGATACAGAGATTTCTATTTTTAACTTGTATCATTCCATTCCACCAATCATACATACCTTACTAGTAACATGTTTGAAATCCACTGGTCATATGCATGCACTAGAAATTTCGAAATTTTTCCTACAGGTATCCTCCACCACTGAGCACAAGATCATTATTGAGATAGAAGGCTTGTGAAGACCCTTCAATTTGGTCATCTTTTTAATTACTGATTGAAAGACTGCTAATAAGTTCGATCCTTGATGAGTGTACACTAATACAGAGCATCAATATAGGATAAAAGAACTATCTTATTTCCTCTGAACATTATTTACTCTTCAAATGGATTTAGTCCGTAAAAAATGATATGTTTAAGTTAGAATTCAATCGAAATTATCACCAACAACACAGTCCTGAAGAAAGTCGTTATACAACATCTTTTGTGTAGTAAGGAAAAATATATGAGATAATAATTTTTTTTCGTTTTCATCTAACGCTTTATCCACTGAAATAAAGATGAAACATTTGGTAGTAATTAGAGTAAAAACATTTTGATACCATCATTTTATTCATCGTCATTATCATCATCATAATCATCCATCGATGAAGAAAATATACGCGTAAAACGTAACAGCACGTATTATCAATAGTACAAGAAATTAGATGGGTTCCGTGGCTAATCTATGCTTCCATATGAAGTTCAACTAAAGTATACAGTGAAAATGTATTAGGTTTTTTCAGGTTATTGTAAGAAAATTATGTAAATTAATTTGTAGATGTCGGACTGGTATTCACGGCCAAGCCTTTTTTCTGTTAAATCGTTAGTTATGAATATGAATTGTAACTAATCAGACAGAAAAAATTATTCAAGTTTGTGCAACCAGAAGATATTTTCCTTTATATTTTTGTATATAGTTTTGCTTTGCTAAGTTTTAAGAGAATAAAAACACTTTTCCATAAAATTTAGCCAAAACGAACACAAATTATAACAATTTTTCCCACTAGGAATAGACTACAAAATATACACATGGTTCAGAAAAGTTTAATTTCGAAATTTATATATATGGAGAGAGAGAGATTATTGGGCATTTACAGCCAACTAACTGTTTGAGATTCCTACATTATAAACTAATTTGTTACTTAGCAGTGATCAGTTTCGTGATCTATGGTGATTAATTCCACCAATTAACATGAAAAGCTCAGTGATCAAAGTCATACGAACTGTAACGCAATGGTTTAATCCTGTGGAGAGCAACAACTGACTCAATATTATAAATACGCTTTACTGATAAATGAGCAGCTAACACGAAATATATCCTCAAAGCTTTCTGTCTGTTAGCGTCGACCATCAAACCTCGGTCCACCAACCTAATAAAATATTCCAACTTAATGTAAATACCATAGATAAGTTAACAGTGATACATGTGATGAAATCAATTGAGCCTTTGAGTAAATGGATGAATTTTTGCCAGGCGAAAGATTTTTTTGGCATTTGCTAATCTAATAAAGTTTACAGGACAATAAATTTTTCATTTGTTTAGATGAATTAATCATTCAATACGACCGTCCATTCATGGAAATTTGTTCGATAAAAATTTCAGATGGTAAGTATCTAACTAAAACGCAGATAGGAATCAATAATAACATTCCCATAAAGCGTTTCTTATGTTCATATTCTCATTATTAGGCGTGTAATGGATTGAATGAAAAACTCTGTAAATATTAAAAATTCTAAATAATAAGCTATCCCAGAACCAGGTGATTTATTAGTGAGGTTTTCACAGTCTTTCTAAACAAAAACATCAACACATGCTTTAGACAGAAGTGAGATAATTTGTATACCAACAACTAAAAGTATTCATTAAGGCTGTAAAATACAAAAAGTATGCAAAAACCAACGGAATAAAATGGACAGCTAGCATGCAACTACACGATTTGAACATCGCAGATGAATAGGCCCTTCTATCCCATGAACAACAAATGTAAATGAAGAAAACCACTGTATCAGCAGCCTCTGCATCAGTAGGCCTCATTATACACAAGGGAAAAATCAAGATCCTCAAATTCAACACGGAGAACACAAACCAAATCAAACACACTTGATGGAGAAACTCTGGAACAGATGGAAACTTTCACGTACCTGTCTGAACAGTATCATTGATGAACAAGGAGAATCAGATGCAGTCATCAAGGCGAGGATTGACAAAATAAGGACAACATTTCTACAGTTGAACAACATATGCAACTCAAAACAACTGTCAACTAATACCAAAGTGAGAATCTTCAATACGAACGTCAAGACAGCTCTACGGTATGGAGCTGAAACTTGGAGGACTACTACAATCATCACCAAAAGTGTACAAGTATCTATAAACAAAATACTCAATGTCTGTTGCCGGATACCATCAGCAACACCCTACTGTGAGAGAGGACAAACCAGCTTCCGTTTGAAGAGAAAATTAGGAGAAAACGTTGGAGGTGGATAAAACGCACATTTCGAAAATCATCAAACAGCATCAGAGGCAAGCCCTAGCATGGAATCGTGAAGGGAAATAGAAGAAAGAATGACCAAAGAACACTGCGCCGAGAATCGGAAGATGTGAAAAGGATGAATAGCAGTTGGAAAGAACTAGGAAAGATTGCCCAAGACAGGGTTGGATGGAGAATTTGGTGAGCGGCCTATGCTCCTTCATGAGGGGTAACAGACGTAAGTATGCAAAAACCAAATAAGATGTGACATACCTTTGTACCACACTGGTGGAAACGAGGTTTTCGCTTAGTATAAAATTGTCAGATGACTATGGAGTATATCCATAACAAACAACACAAATATGTTATATGATTATTCTTGAATCATTATCAACTGACTGGTTGGATCCATTCTTACTACTGATTGCAAGTTACCTAAAACAACGAAATTCAGACGATTCTACGCTGTGGAATTTATGATGTCTACAAACCAACGTTCAATAAAAACAACAGAATGTAAAATTAACCATTCAACCGCTCGATGGTTTGAACCATGACACATAAAATTATTCAAAAGACTATGAAGTACATGAAATTATAAATGGTAGGTATTAAGCGAGGGAAAAATTTGATACAACTAGGCATAACGAATTTATAATTAATTGGATTATATTTCTTAGAAAAACTAGTATATGTTATGATGACTATCGATCAAAAAAAGGTTTATAGTTAGATTTACATATGAATACCATAACATACATTAGAAATACAAAAATCGTTCAGTTACAAACAACTACACAAATCCTGGACATTTCAGTTTCTCAATCCTTTCTAGTAAATTAATATCATAGTTATTTTTTGCGGCCAACTACCCAACATCGTAATTCTAAATATCTGCTACTCAAAATTAATCACTTAATTAACAAATCTTAGTATTGATAATTTGAATATTCCCAAATAAATAATACACAAAAATTAAACCTCACCCCAGTACACAAGATCATGGTTGTCTGAACTTTAGCTGGGTGGATAACCTTATTGTGTTTAAAGCAAACGGTACTGGGTTCAAGTTTTTGAGTAAACATCGACTGAGAGAAGCATAAAACGCAAGTCCTGAACTCCAGTGTTTACTACAACCCATTTCTGTTTATGAATTTTAATACTGTTTCTTAATTAAAATTATACATTTACATGAAAATTATCAATCACTAATTGTGACATATGCAAAGGATCCTTCGCAAAAACGACTGTAATTAACTAATAATGTGTAAAAAACAGAATTAGACGGAGAAAAACCATGAGCTGTTTGAGCTTGCTGAAAATATGCTCATTAAAATATTTCTTTATAATACCCGAAAAATCTAGATCTCAGTATATTTGGTATGTGAATAGGATAGGTGGATAGGAAAAACATAGCAAATATCATCAAAGTGAATCACAAAGCAAGTCCTAAATTGGAATCCTTAAGGCAAAAAGAAAAGAGGCGAATCAGAGAATACATCGCACCATAAGTTGAAGACAGACATCAAAAGAATGAATAACGCTTGATGAAAACTTGTAAGGAGAGCCAAGGACAAAGTAGGTGGAAGATTGTTGGTCGGCGGCTTATACTCCACGACGAGTAACAGACACAAGTAAGTCACGAGTTCAAACTCAACGTTGATTCAAAAGACCGAGTATAGTTTGCTATGAACAAAATATGTATGCAGTTTCACTATTAGTAATACGGTAGAAAAAATAAATAAATAAATAAAAATAAATATATTACACAAATATCTTATCAAAATTCTAGTTTACCTCTGCCTCACGCATTTCTTGCTTTTTTCTCTCACTGTTCCATTTTAAATGTTCACCCATTAAATCAACAATTCTTGGTAAAGCTTCTTCCGCAGCTCGTACATTCAAAAATGCTAAACGAGTACGACGAGCAAGAAAGTCGACAGCATGACAAGCATATTCTCGGCATGCATATTCCACCTAGAAAAACATTAAACAGAAGGTTTTTCTTTAAAAAAATTTCATGTATGATATTGTGATCAATGAGTGACGTAACCTAGTGGAGTGTGAATAACACATCACATTGATTTTTCTCCCCAATCATCTGTAAAAAGTAATCACATTGTGGGGAGTAAATACTAAATAGTCAAGTCTATATCTGTTGGTTATAGACGCATAATTGTATGATATTTTAAGTATGGGTTCAAGAAATAAATTATGTTAGGCTCTACAGTTAGAAGTCCATAATTACTGTGATATTTTATAAAGACCTAAATAAGGTATGCATTAGTGATTTCGACAAGGGTGAACTCCTGCATTTGTTCCGACATAAATGCTTCGAAATCGTGTTATTTGTCAATTAGTAGGGTCATTTAACAAAGGTCAGAATGATTCGTAATAAAGTGTTAAGTATTAATCAATATAATATCAATACAATAAGTCGTGTGAACAGTATAGTAGGAGAATTTCGTCTTGTTAAATGAGGCAATAATAACAACATTGTGTGAATATAATATGCAATAAGAGGGGTGTTGTCAGGTTAATTGTAATAAAAAAGAATTCCTGCGAATTGAGAAAGGTGAACGTGGAGGTTAAGAAAGATAGAAACACATAGTGAATGAGGAGAGGGAATAAGAAGTTTATAACATCCAGCCTAGGTATCTGGTGATTCAGTCGTGTATCAAGGCAAACATAAAGGCTGACTATATCTCTTCTGGATAAATAAGTTAGGTTTTCCAGAGTTGATTCAGATGGCTTCAGATATGTAGATTGTTTAGAACTCGACACAAAATAGTGGAAGCTTCATGTATTTTTATATGATGCTCACTATCTACCAAGTGAGAAAGAATGACGTTGTTAAAAGATTCAGTGACTCTTTTTTCCCAGCCATACTGTTACACCCCAGGACAGAGTGGGTTGAAGAATGCTGGTTTGCGGCCTATGCTCTATTAGGAGTAACGGGCGTAAGTAAGTGATACTGCTACACGCTCACGAACATGAAAGGATAAAGCCCTCTGTATAGGAGTGGTCAAATTGGTGTACACACATCATCATCGGTAAACTATCCCTGATTTTTTGCGTAGTTATTGGTTTGGTTGAGAAGGTCACATGTAACTTGGCTGCATGAAATGTCTTCTCAACAGATTTTTTGAGTTGACTTGTTGAAATGTCACTTGCTATGTCCCCTTTTAAATAGAGTTTTAGATAGAGGGTTTTCTCGCTGATTGTATTAGTTTGTTATTTCTTACCTTCTGATAGAAATCTGACATTATCTGGAAAGCCAATATGCCGTATTGTGTTCTTTAGTTTATTTATTTCGCTATCTACTTTATCCTCAGAACATAATACATTGATTCTGTGACTAAAACATTTAACTAGATTTATTTTGTATTGAAGAGGTTTAAAACTGTGCAAACAGGTATACTGACCCGTCCAAGTATTCTATCTAAATACAATTGTTTTTATGGAGCCATCTATTTTCCCAAAAAGTAATACATCAAGGAAAGATATTCTATTATCGTTCTTTTCTTCGCTGGTGAATTTAATAGCTGGGTGAACGTGATCTAAAATGTTCAAAACCTCTTGTTTGTCGTTAGTTTCGTCACACACGATTAGTATTTCATCTGTGCAACAATGACAATAATCTAGCTTATTTAGGATATCACCCACCAGTCCATTTTCTTGTTTGAATAGAAAAATATTAGCAAGGATCAGGCTTATGGGTGACTACATTGCTACTCCATCTACTGGTCTATAAGTTTTGTTGTTAAACATGAAGCAGATATTCGTAGTGCATTTCAACAGAAGCTCCTTCAATGTATTTATCGTGATCAGTCAGTCAGTCAGTCAGTCAGTCAGTAACAACGTAGAACTTCGTACGTACGTACATCAGTTCGAGTTGCCATACCACATTAGCACAGAGATGCGGTTGTCGATTCAAATCCCGTAGTGGTAGAGACAGTAAAAGTATAAGCAGTAATCGGGAAGATTAGGGTTTGGAGATATTATTTAAAGAGTATAATCCAGTGAAAGAAATTTGGAAAGAAAAAAAGAGACATGAAGAATTCAGAAGATTAGAATTTGGGAGAACACAAAGAAGGGATGCATCTGCGCCATTGCAAACGATTTTGAGCCATGTCATTCAGGGTCTCTAACCATCAGTTGCTGTCATCTCGCGGTCCCCAACCAGGTAGTCTACACCTACCAACATGACTCAGTTCACTTGTCAGTGACTTCATGGACTTGTGCCATGTTTTGGTTTGGCCGCCCCTAGCTTTCTTCCAACCTACTCCTATACCACTGAACATAGCACGTCGAGGCAGTCGGTCGTTGGGCATACGTAACACGTGTCCCAGCCATCTCAACTGATGAAGTTTCACTACTTCATCAATTGATTTGCCATCCTTACCTAGTACCCGTTTCCTAACAACTGTGTTACTTACTCGATGGTCCCATGATATACGAGCAATATTTCGAAGACACCTATGATCAAATACTAGTAACCTACCGGCCATGTTTCACTGCCATAAAGTAGGACGGAACGAACTGCTGCACAATAAGCACGTCCTTTGGTTGATAGACGGATATCTCGCCTACGCCATAAATGACGCAAGTTGGCAAAAGCTAGTCGAGCCTTCTGTATCCGTGCTGAGATTTCGTCACACACCAGACCACAAGGGCTGATGAGACTTCCAAGATAAGTGAAGCGGTCGACACACTCAACTACTTCACTCCCTATCACTAGTTCGGGTGTCGATGTAACCCAATCCTGAAGCAACATTTTGCATTTCGAGGGAGAGAATCGCATCCCGAACATGCTTGCATTGTTGCTTAGAGTGGTCAGAAGACTCTGCATTTTGTCAGCGTCTTCACCAAATAAAACTATGTCATCAGCATATTCTAAGTCAACAAGTGAACCTCCTGGTAGAAGTTCAACCCCTGTATATTTAGATGAGGAGAGTGTCATCTCTAAAAGTACGTCAATAACAAAGTTGAACAAGAATGGGGAGAGTGGACAGCCCTGACGAACACCACTTGAGGTGATCAATTCTGATGACAGTTCGCCATAATCTCTCACTCTACCAGTTGTGTTCGAGTAGAGAGCCTTTATAAGGTTAATGTACTTCTTTGGTACTCCTTTCAGTGACAAACACTGCCATAGAACCTCACGATCAATAGAGTCGAATGCCACCTTAAGGTCGAGAAATACTACCATTGTGGGGCGTCTGAAAGTGTGTCTATGTTCTAGAACCTGACGTAGTGTGAATATCTGATCTATACAACCACGTCCAGGTCGAAAACCAGCCTGGTTTCCTCTAGTCTGCTCTTCACGAGCTTTAGTTAGGCGTCGAAGTATTATTGAGGCTAATATTATAGACACTATATTAGTCAAACTGATTCCTCTGTGATTGTCACAAGAGGACTTTTGTCCTTTCTTAAAAACTGGCACAATCAGGGATTGAGACCAGTCAGATGGGATTACGTCCAGTTCCCAAATTCTACCTAAGACCTCGCTTAATCTCATTGCTAATACTGGACCACCATCCTTAAAAATCTCAGGAGTAAACCTGTCAGGGCCTGCTGCTCTCCCTAGCTTCAGATTTCCTATGGCTTTTTCAACTTCTTAAAGGGACGGAGGGCTTACATTAACTTGCCATTCAGGTTGACTAGAGATCGTGGGAAATCGAAGTGTGGCTGAAGGCCAGTTGAACTGATCCCTAAAGTGTTCTGCCCATCTATCCAATCTCCTGGATTGAGAATGAATAATATGTCCATCTTTCTCTGAGATTGTTTTGCTAACGGTCGGGTTCCTAATTCCGGTTTCCTTAACGAGTCTGAACAATTTTCTGCTATTACCTATTGCCGCTGCCTTTTCCATCTCTCTTGATTTCGCTACACACCACTGTTCGCGACCATTGCGTAGACTTCTTGTCAGCTTGCGCTTAAGCTGACTCCGCTCTTCATTATGTTCAGAGCCAGGTGGAATGTGTTTCCGAGCATTTATCAGTGAGATAGATGCTGCTGAGATCCAGTGTTGCTCCCTAAAATTCTGGTTTACCTTACTAGCAGATATCACTGCTGTTTCCACAGCTTTTCGGATATCATTCCATGCTGTATCGGGGTGGGCATCACATACATGGCTGCCTAACTGTTTTCCTAGTTGTTCCTGAAATATATTCTTAGCTTGACTATCATTAAGTAGGGCCCTAAGAGGTTTCCTTGCAGGATCTTTCCTACGTCCAGTAAGACGCAAGCAAATACGCGCTCGCACTAGAGCATGATCTGAATCTAGGCATGTGCTCCAGAATGAGCGACAGTCTTCTATCGAGCCCCCTGATAGCGATGTGATCTATTTGGGTCCAACGTTGGGACGAATTAGGGGGTCGCCATGTTAAAAGATGGTTTTCCTTATGCTTAAAGTTAGTATTTACAAGGAACAGGCGGTTATCTGAGCATAGCTGCAACAGACGGTCGCCATTATCTGTTCTTTGAGCTACGACACCATAGGATCCACCTAGGTGTCTTTCCTTATCGCTTAGTTTACCTACTTGAGCATTAAAGTCACCGGTCACTATTACTACATCCGAGCGCTTAGCTTTTAGGAGAAGGTCCGAAAGCTTTCTGTAAAACTCATCTTTTACATCATCTGAGCTGCAGTCAGTGGGAGAATAGGCAGAGACGACGAAGAGGCAACGACGAGTGTCCCTATCTTTCCAGATTCTTACTGTTCCGTTCAGTCGGACAGCGCACAAACGACTGTTTACTGGGATCCACTCTAAGATAGCTAGTTCTGCCCTAGGACTCAATGCTATACCTACGCCGGCGAGGCCACGGGAAGCAGAATCAGGGCTTCCAGATACACGAAGCGTAAATCGAGTCGGTTCTTGATTTTGGCATGGTGAGGTCAAATGAATGACGCTACTCGGATCCTGTATGCGCGTTTCGGAGACGCAGCACACATCGATGGCGCGAGATTCTAAAGTTTTAGCTAAGGAAGCCTGCTGTCCTATTTGGCAAAGTGTTCGTACGTTAAAAGCTCCTACGTGTAGTTTAGAGCGTGGTTTCAGGAGACCAGGAATGGCGTTCCACGTACTCGAATCGTTTGCCCTAGCGGTGCGAGGTGATAAAGAGACGTGAGGAGGGTTAGTCGGGAGGATAAGAGAGGTATTAGGAGGTGTAGGAAGGATTTGAATGTGACCACCTTGGTCTCTTGTGCTGTTACGGGTATGAGGGCTGATGTCACTTCCCGGCTGCCCACACCGTGGAAGGGTATTTCTTGATGAACCTGAAAAGGAAATTGGATTAGTGTTGGTCTTAACGACCTGGGAGCGTGACCGCAGAGCCCAAGGGACAACTGCTTGAGGCCGGTCGCGCACGGCCTTTTTGTGGAAGGTTTTTGACGTGTTAGCTCCGTTCTTCAAGGGGCCTTACCGCCGGAGACGGAAATCCGTGAGGTAAGGTGAGGTGTGCATTTTTAGGGTCGACCTTATCTAACCCCACCCCTCCTTGTGGGAAGGCAGCATCGCTGTCATGCTGGTTGTCCGAGGGAAACACCTTACTGCTGCCACACCTTTCTACAGTCAGCAGTACGACTTCGCCCTCAGATCTTGAGTTGCTGCTTTTAGTCTTACCGTTCTCCAATCGACCTGCATGGTAGAACCTACAGGAACATATGTTCCAGCCAATATAGCTCGGTTGGGTCATCACGATAAGCAAGCCCGACCACCGCGTCAATGTAGCAGCTTCGACCGATCATTTATCGTGATTGGTACCTTTCTTTTCTTTTCTGGCGGTTGTTCATATATGTAATAGGTTTCTGTCAGTGGAATATTAGTGAACAAAGATGTTATTTCTGTTGATGATATGGTTTTACTTTTTACATACATATTCTTTATTGTATCTAAATGTTAATCTGACCGTAAATAAATCATAGAAAAATTTGAGCATTCATTTAACATTTTGATTTATTGTGGAGACCAAATAAATCCAGATTTATCGTCGTTGTGCTTGTCTTACGTTGTCTGATTCAGTTTCAGTAACGAGTGCCAAGTCAGTTAAGTATTCCATGGACATAATAATGTACTGTTTAGTATTATTCCCTGGAAGCTCTATACTTCATTTAACTATTCCTAAGTTAGAACAAGAATTGAGAGAAAACAATCTACTTTCCAATAAACCCGAACAAAATAGATACGGTAGTAAAACATCAGTACTTATGTAAGATTTACTTAAGTATTTTTCAGTAAATTAATTCGTCCACTAGGACTGACTGATTGAAAAATGAACCAATGAGCATATTCCCATTTGATTTGAACTTAAAAAAAATGAAATAGTGTGGACATCAACATGCTAACCATACATAAGCACCTAGTTTGCAGACTTTAGGAGAGTTCTTTCGAAGCTAACCACTAGCGAGCAAACACAAGTTTTACAGACTTACGCCATTTTATGAACATAATATAGAAAGGCACATTTTTATCACGAAATGACGTCAACGCTGTTATTCAACAGTTATCAAGCAGATGTCGTTTCTTAATGAAAATTCCTTAGACGTGGTATACGGATAAAAGTGAAACGTGTCACAATGGACAATTGACACCAGTAAGTGTTGCAGATTATGAATTCAGTTGGAAACCAATTAATAAACATTATTTATATGCTGATCTGTATGGCTGAACTAACTTAACTGTACAATAACTTCATTGGAAATAATGGTGATACCAGGGAGCTTTCATCTTGTTAGTTCGTAAACTAACGGTATTCAATAGTGACAGTCAATATGAAACAGCAGTCCAGACAAACTTGACAGCTAGAATAGATCGGCCAAATCAATACAAAACAAACCTCAACAGACAAGAAATGTTGAAAAGATTAAGGTATTTTGAAACAAGAACCTAATGATAGTATGCATATTTATTGGTTTGACATTCTATAACATGTTCCCAAACTACTTGTAAAATATACAGTATAACATATCTATGTAGAAAAAGTGAAGGCAGTTTCACAGACAATAATAGCACTATTCATCTTATTATACAAATTATCAATTTTATGAAAAAATTAACTTACTTCAGCTTCAATAAAAGGAAATTCAGGATGTAATTTTTTACCTAATATTGGCCATCTTAAACCAGTTAGTTTGGATATATTAGCTATAGTGATAGCTTTATCACCATAAATCCCAGTTAAATGGCGTGCCACATCAACATCCATACCATATTCTTGAACAATTTGTATAAATAGATTTGGTGACCAACCATGAGCACCCTCTAAAAGAAGACCTTTGGTACGACATGGACCAGTTGGTTTAAGATCACATACCTAGTTAATTAATAAAACAGAATAAAATAATTCCTGATAAATTTCTGTATATTTCTCTCGTAATAACAAAATGAAAATATTAAAACAATTATTAATTCTAATGACAATCAGCTATTAAGGGTATAAAATGTAGGACTGTGTTTATCAAATGACGATAAGTTAGCGGTTAAATGATCTGACGATTGAGTATCATATCATATTTCACCTAACTCAGTTTAAATAACCACATAGTATTATTTAACTTTACAAAAACAGTGCAGCTTAAAGTTAACTGCATAAACAAGTACTCATTAACTGATTCACTGGTAATAAAATAGCGACTTTTATTAGTGAACTATTCAAATAAAGACAGAATTTGTTTACTACCTTTATCGCTTTATCCACAGTCTCTTCTGCCATACTTCTGTAAGTTGTCCATTTACCACCAGCAATTGTTATCAATTTAGATGGAGAAACATCAATAATATGATTACGTGCAATCGACTGTGTATCAGAAGAATTTGGGTCACGAACAAGTGGTCGAATACCTGCCCAAGATGACAGTACATCACCACGACGAACTATTAACAGAGAAACAAATATAGCAATAACAAAAGTAAATGAAACGAAAAAATTGAGTTACATTTTACTTAAAACATTAGTTATGATGATGTAATATTAATTAAGCAAAACTGTTTATTCAAGTGTATTGTATAGATGTAGATAAGATTCAGAATAACTTGTCAACCAGTTATGATTTCATTTTAAAAATGAATTATTAATCAAATAGCAGGCAAAAAATAATATGCAAATATTCAAGTTATTTAAGAATAGAGAAAATCCCTCAAGATATTAACTTAATGTATAAGCATAATGGTAAAATAAGACATAAATGTACGTCAGAATGCATACAATCAAAGAAAAGTACAAAGCTAAATAATACCATACTTAGTTTATACACTATACAATAATCAAATTGAAAAGGATGGCCGGATCACAAACATTTATACTCCTTGAACCTGGAGCATATCCAGCGTTGCAAAGAGGAACTCTTTAAAATATTGTACGCTGATAATTCCATATTGTAATATTGAAAAAACGATTATTATTATTATTATTATTATTATTTATAAGAATATTCGTCAAGATTAGAACGAATAGTTTGGCAGTAATTGAGCGCCGAGTATAGAGAAGTCATTATATGTGAAAATTATATTTGAAATATTCTTAGCGATTGAAATATAACTAATTCCAACGTTTCGTCCAGCTAACTTGTCTGGACCTCTTCAGGGACTCATGAGTTCAATCTGTGAAAATTTCTAAAAATCTCCACAAAACACATTCTGATAATAATAATCACATGCTCACTAGTGACTGACTTCAGGAGACACTTCTGGAGTTCTAGTGAGAAGTCGTTACCAGTGGAGTTCAACCAGGTCTGTTGTGAGATAGGAACTCACTGAAGACAATGGTGTACGGTAGCGCAACTTCGTGGATTGGTTGAAGTTAGACATTAACACCGTTGGATCCCGGCTCAGTGGTCTAATGGTCAAGTGCTCGCGCGCGAAGCCAGTAGGTCCTGGGTTCGAACCCCGAGTGGTGCGGGGTCGTGGATGCGCACTGCTGAGGAGTCCCATACTAGGACGAAACGGCCGTCCAGTGCTTCCAGGTTTTCAATGGTGGTCTAGCTTCAATTGACTCATGAGTTCAATCTGTGAAAAATTCACATGTCTTGAGCACAAGATTTTGTCTGGGAAGACAATGAAAAGTTCATAACTTAAACTCAAGCTAAGAAAACACAAAAATTTTGAAATTAGCTAGGTCTTTATGTGGTATAAGATTAAGGGTATAATTCGGTAACTTGACATATTGTTCAAAATCGAGATATCTAATTGTATGTGCTACTTATTTAATCCTTTTTCAGTGACTGAGTTACTTAAGTAAATTAACTGACCACTATTATAGTAATCAATATACAGTTGACCATCTATAATTCCTCATCAAATTCTATATATTAAGATGAATTCTGACCCTCACTGACTCAGAATACCGATGTACGGAGTTTGATATGAAGCGAGTGGAAAAATTGTTGGGGAGACAGGAATCTACGTTTTGTACTACTTAGCGCAACTTACGAAAACATATCTAAAGAAACTGATATTTAACGCTTAATTCCTTTTATTGACTTCATAAGAACAGGAAAAACCATTTGAAGCGATTATTCAACGGCTTATAACCTATATGTTCCAAAATCAAAACTTAGAATGAAGTTTAACGTACCTATAGAAGTCAAAATGGTTAAAATAAGGTGCAAAAAACATATAGGCTTAGTGTAGAAAACATTCATATGAAAATGGTAAAATGGTTGAATAAGATGTTGTAATTATCCATTAAATGTAAAAGAAGGTTCCCAGGACATTGGATTAAGATGGCACTAAAATATTGCACGGCCGAAACAAAGTGACTGTGTACGAAAGCAATGAAATGTGTCGACGACATCTAAGAGTGGTGCAAATCAAGATTATGAACTAGAAAAATTGAGATGATAAAACCAAATGATCGATATAACTATTAATGATTTAAAATTAAGTTTATTAATTCACTAGGTACTTGAATATGAATTACACTCGTAGTTTGACGGCTAGTGATATTATTCAGTTGCCCAAACTATAGCAGATGAAGTAGGGTTCGAGCAAGGGATTTGACGGCTAAACGTTCGACGCTTTAGCCACTAAACCACTGTTTAATATAATAAAAAATATATTCCCTGTGATATTCTGAACTGCATTAACAAGTGTTACAATCCCAGGTGGTACAGTGGCGTATGCTACTTATTTTTTTCAGATGTAAGTAGTATGTAACACCAGTCAGAAGTGGAATGTCTGCAAAAAGAAGGTTGAGAAGAGAGAAGAAAACTAAAATCAATCAAGATAAAAACAGGAATGAAGGAACAATAAAGCTTGTAGGAAACTATTTAAAGAAAATGTGCAAATGATGTATTTGATGGATGACTTCCACATTTTACTAAACCACAGTGTGATTGTACATTGAACAATAAATTGTTCATCTCCACTTAAGTATTTGTTCTCTACAGTACTACTGAGTTATTCATTGTGCATAATTCTCTACGGTATCGACTGTCTTAAAAATATATGTACTGAAGTTACTTAAAAATGAGAATTTAATTAGTAACCTGATATATTATGTAATCACAAATTTACACAGGTGTAAAGCGATTAAAAAAACTAAAGGGTACTATACGAGCACCTGATGAACCATTTTCACAAGGGAAGACCAAAACTAAACACCTACCTTGGATTTCCGGAGAAAGATAACTACTAATTTCTTCCAAGATAAAGTTCACTTCAGCTTCAGAAGGCGATGGTTGATCAGTAACAGTGCATTCAGTATCTGTAGTGCCAGCTAACGCATAATTCATCCATGGTAAAAAGAAGATCACACGACCATCACGCGTATCTGGATCTAGTAAACCCATTTTAGTAGGGCTAAAAATACAATCAGAAATGAGATAAGACAGAACTTTTTTGAATAATGTTTAATAATAATGAATTGATCAAATGCGAATTCATTTGTTACTATGCGAATACTCCAAAATTGATTCATATTTCAAAACTTTCAAGCTTATAATAACCGTACGATGTATTCATGAGCTTTCAAAAAATGTTAGAAAAACCTATCATGAAGCTAACTACTGAGAAAAATATAAGCGAAAACAATACATTGATTGTTATATTGGAGGCGAGTACATTATTGTACTGGAAAATAATGTGTGGGGTAAAACTCGACGAAAAATCTTGGAACTGATAACGAATGGCCAAAATTAATGAAAAATTTATTTTATAATATTTATGAAATATTTACAATTTCAATGCATTTTAAAAAAGCTTATCGCAATAATACGATTTGTGTGTTGAGGATTTCTAACTTTGACTCAGCACAAGTTATTGGAAAAAATAAGCGACTTTAACTAGAATCAAACCTATGATGCCTTTCCAAATAACAAATATCTAAGAATATCACGAATAGATTTAATGAAGCGATAGCTTAGTGGCTAAAGCATCCGACATTCAGTCACTATGTTCCCTGGTTCGAATCCTATTCCGTTCACCTTAGTTTGAGAAACTGAGTAGTATCACTAACACTCATACTTAGAGTGTGCTTCAAATCCAAGTACCTGATGAATGAGTTTACTACATTTCCAACAATTTTTGAATCATGAATATCAGTAAACCGATCAAATTTTAATCAGATAAAACTACTGAACATATTATTCTACTATGTAATATAAAGTAATTTGTAATTGGAACAAAGAATAGACGAATATGATTAGTAATATATACCTAAAGAATAACTTTTTACTTAAGAAAACACTTATTAGTTTACGAGTGACAAATCCAAAACTTCATACTTATGCAGAAATGTTGAATTCTTAAATTTACAAAGGGTTTTATTAATAGTTACGTCTATATTATTGCCACAAAGTTATGAAAATTTCAATTTATCATGAACATTTCGTTCAACAATAATATTTAAAAAATAACTGGAGAATTTCAATGATTCCTCTACTGTATTTTCTGTAAAATTAATTCACTATAAACTAAAAACTAAGTAAAATTTCATAGAGGATCACCCTACCGTACATACAAGGAATATCAGAAACTGCAACGAGACTGCTGAAAACCTTCGGGATAGGAGTGGCACACAAACCAACAAAATCACTACAATCAATCTTATGCAAACCAAAAGATGAAATAACAAAGGAGAACAAATCAAACATTATCTACAAAATAAATTGTACCAACTGCGACAAACACTACATCGGACAAAGCGGACGCCCCCTCCACCTACGCCTACATGAACATCAATTAGCAGTCAAACGCCATGATATCTCTTCACTTATTTCAATACACGTGGATAACTACGGACATTCATTCGATTGGGAAAATGTAGAAATCTTAGACAGAGGAAACTCCAAAAACACCAGAGAATTTCTAGAAGCCTGGCACTCAGGTCAATCAGCAATCAACAAACATATTGAAATCAATCCAATTTATCAACCAATCAGAAAAATCATGCATATATATAAGAACAAAAATCAAAACAATGGGAGACACAACCTAAACAAAGAAGTGAACAATGATAAATTTAAGGTCAACAAGAACCAATCAACATCGAGGTGCACAGAACAAGCTGTGAAACACATATGGAGAAAATCGAACACTTCACTTCAATCTGAAGTTTGTGCTGATGATGTCGTTCAGAAGAACGATGAAAGCTCCACGAACAAACCATCCAGCTCAGACAACAATACTCCACCAAAATCATCCACCTGAGCTACAAATCTTCTCCACCATCTCAAAACAATATGACCGTAATACGCTTCTCGTTGTTCGAAAATGGGAGAATTTCGCCAAATGACAAGCTTCCACTCGAGACCAACTATATTTTCTCCATGAGTGTCTTCGCCAGCATGTTCTACAAACAAGTGTAAAATATAGACCTCCAATCAACTGCCCACTAGGATGGAGAATAGCTGAGCAAAGTGGAAGAAAAATGGTATACCTAATGATAACGGATGCACACTACAGGATCCGCAAATACCAGCACGTCATAGAAGACCAAAAGATAAAGCTACAAAGGATGCTCACATCAGAACATTTAGACATCGTGACAACAGCCATCGAGATATCATGCAAACGACATAGAGAACAAAGAAGAGACACCTTAAAGAAAAAACTAATCAAGATCTCCAAACCACCCATGGAAGAAAACACAAACAACTGCGTGATCAATCTGTCAAAACAACCACTAACAAATACGGAAGAACACCTGCTCCAAAAAGGATTAAACTACAATACAAGCGACGCCTCAAAGCTACAGTTCTTCGCAGCACTAGAGTCATCACTCAAAACTTCCGGAATCAGTGAAGAAACACAACAGGAAATAAGGCAAACTATAGTACCGATAACTCAACAGGTGAAAGAAAACAACCAACTGACTCCACAAGAACAAAAGGCCTTGAAAGAACTCAGAAATAGAAAGGATATTGTCATAATACCAGCGGACAAAGGACGCACCACAGTAATCATGGACAAAGAAGAATACGTCAACAAAGCCGAAGAACTACTCAAAGATAAGAGCACATACAAACTAATGGACACAAATCCCGTCAAAAAATTAGACAACCAAATCTCAAAGACTTTAAACAAGCTAGTCAAAGCAGGAGAAATAACAAAACAAGACCAATGGAGAATGAAATCCAGTGGACCAGTACTCCCTCGATTCTACGGCAGGCCCAAAATACACAAACCGAACATTCCACTACGTCCAATAGTAGCACTCCCTGGAACGCCAACGTACAATTTATCAAAAGAAATTTCACGAATACTGAGACATCTAGTAGACTCAGCCAAACACTCCATCAAATCCCCAACACAATTCTTGGACCAAATTAAGGACATTCAAATCAACAACGACGAACTCATGATATCCTTCGACGTAACAGCACTGTTCACCTCAATTGAACCACAGTTAGCAAAAGAAACTATATCCCTACTACTCAACAACGACCCAAATCTCACCAAATACACGACGCTTCAAATTAAAAGTCTACTGGAGCTCATCGATTTATGCCTTACGACATATTTTCAATTCAACAACAAAATCTACAAACAAACAAAAGGGACACCAATGGGATCACCAATATCAGGACTGATCGCAGAAGCAGTGATGCAACGACTAGAAGCCACGATATTACCAGTGATCAAACCAAAAATTTGGATTCGCTACGTAGACGACACCTTCGTCATCGTCAAAAAGGATGAACTGGAAAACACATACAAATTGATCAACAACGTCTTCAATGACATCAAGTTCACAATGGAACAGGAGTCAAACAACCAACTAGCATTTTTGGATATATTGATCACTAGAACTGATACAGGAAAACTGGAAACTCAAGTATATAGGAAACCAACCCATACAGATCAAATTCTCAACTACAACAGCAACAACCCAAGGGCTCACAAAATCAACTGCGTACACACATTGTTCAAGAGGGCGAGAACACACTGCAGCACACTGGCAGCACGAAGAAATGAAGAGAAATACCTGAAGGACATATTCCAAAAGAACGGCTACCCAATCAATTTCATCAAAAAGCACCAACGGCACACAGCATCACAACCCAAGTCAAGCACAAAAATCAGTAAAAGGATCACCCTACCGTACATACAAGGAATATCAGAAACTGCAACGAGACTGCTGAAAACCTTCGGGATAGGAGTGGCACACAAACCAACAAAATCACTACAATCAATCTTATGCAAACCAAAAGATGAAATAACAAAGGAGAACAAATCAAACATTATCTACAAAATAAATTGTACCAACTGCGACAAACACTACATCGGACAAAGCGGACGCCCCCTCCACCTACGCCTACATGAACATCAATTAGCAGTCAAACGCCATGATATCTCTTCACTTATTTCAATACACGTGGATAACTACGGACATTCATTCGATTGGGAAAATGTAGAAATCTTAGACAGAGGAAACTCCAAAAACACCAGAGAATTTCTAGAAGCCTGGCACTCAGGTCAATCAGCAATCAACAAACATATTGAAATCAATCCAATTTATCAACCAATCAGAAAAATCATGCATATATATAAGAACAAAAATCAAAACAATGGGAGACACAACCTAAACAAAGAAGTGAACAATGATAAATTTAAGGTCAACAAGAACCAATCAACATCGAGGTGCACAGAACAAGCTGTGAAACACATATGGAGAAAATCGAACACTTCACTTCAATCTGAAGTTTGTGCTGATGATGTCGTTCAGAAGAACGATGAAAGCTCCACGACCAAACCATCCAGCTCAGAGAACAAAACTCCATCAAAATCATCCACCTGAGCTACAAATCTTCTCCACCATCTCAAAATCATATGAGCGTAATACGCTTCTCGTTGTTCGAAAATGGGAGAATTTCGCCAAAAGGCAGGCTTCCACTCGAGAACAACTATATTTTCTCCATGAGTGTCTTCGCCAGCATGTTCTACCAACAAGTGTAAAATATAGACCTCCAATCAACTGCCCACTAGGATGGAGAATAGCTGAGCAAAGTGGAAGAAAAATGGTATACCTAATGATAACGGATGCACACTACAGGATCCGCAAATACCAGCACGTCATAGAAGACCAAAAGATAAAGCTACAAAGGATGCTCACATCAGAACATTTAGACATCGTGACAACAGCCATCGAGATATCATGCAAACGACATAGAGAACAAAGAAGAGACACCTTAAAGAAAAAACTAATCAAGATCTCCAAACCACCCATGGAAGAAAACACAAACAACTGCGTGATCAATCTGTCAAAACAACCACTAACAAATACGGAAGAACACCTGCTCCAAAAAGGATTAAACTACAATACAAGCGACGCCTCAAAGCTACAGTTCTTCGCAGCACTA